CTGCATTATTTTTTGCCATTACCATGACCCACAATCAAAAACCTACATTTGTTTGCAATATTTTTCCATTTTTTTTTGTACTCTTTTAATAGGGAACAGAAACAAGAGTGCAAAAACAGCATTATTCATCTTTTTCCTTGCGTCAATTCCTGTAGAGCACCTATGCATATTATTCTTTACATGTGCAAGGAATATACACTGAGTGGCCAGATTATTATGACCACCCCTTGGTTGGGCCACGAGATGACTCCACGAGATGACTTCGTTGAGCCGCCTCGTGACTCCACGACATGTTGAACGGTGATGCGAGGAATCCGACACTGCACTGTTGCCCTTCTGTTTTCTTGTACCGGTCTTGCCACTCTCCGTTCTGCCCTAACATTGACTAGTCGATGACGGCCACAATTCGCACGTTCAGACCCAGATTTTCGGCTGACAGTCCAGTCTTTAAACACTTTAACAACAGCTGCTCTTGAACATTTAACGAATTCTGCTGTTTTGCCGATACTCGCTCCATGGCTCTGAGCGCCAACAATCATCCCACGTTCAAAGGCTGTTAAATCACGTTGTTTACCCATATCTTCAGAAAACAATCACTTCTACTGTCATGGTAAACAACCTGATTCCCTATTTATAATGGTCTAGCCCTCTAGCACCTTCAGCGCCAAATTATAGCTAATTTGCCGACAAACGTCAGGTGGTCATAATAATCTGGGCACTCAGTGTATGTATTTATCTATACAGTATATCAATTTATATTCACCCAAAATGTATATCTTAGTTAAAGGTAGCTCCTAGTGAAATGACTTCTGATCTGCTTGGAAATTCCATTGCCAAGATCTCCTAACATGGTTCCTGGCTCTGGTCCTGCTCACAGTAGAGTGCTGGATTTTGCACCCACCATCGGCTGTTCTCCTTTTCTGCTGATACAAAATAAAACATACCTCCAATACTGCACTTGTGCATGCAGTTATTACCATGATCCGTTTGCATAAACCCAATTCAAAGGGCTTTTTGCCAAATCAAGGTAATAAGCAAAAATCACCAGCATGTAAGCAAGTGCAATGGGCTAAAATGGCATATTATGAATTCCAGGAACACAGTAAAAAAATTGATTAAATAATTCAGCGTTTAAAGGATAAAATGCAGCAGACAGGCAAGTGCAAACCGTATGTATCCAATAAAAAGCACAATGCTCCCACATAAGAATGATTTCGGCCTAATTAAAATAGCATTCCAAAGGTCAAAAGCTAACTTGGATTAATAAATCACAGAAACTCATAATTGCAAAAGGCACATTATTTTAATTGCTGAGAGGGGAACAAAAAACCCGATTACTCAGAAGTCATTTTTCATAAGCCGATCATCAGGAAGAAAAAAAAAAAGAATGAAAGCTGCTTAAATACATAATTTATTGACTAATGGCTCTCACGTAATTCCTTGTCATACAATAAAGTTAAGGTGCACGTTCAGGGTCAGGTGAGTTTAGTTATGAGATGTGGAGATATAGGTAAACATTACAAAAATTATCTTTATTAAAAAATAATAAAAGGTAAATTGATCTTTTCTGATTTATGTCATACTTTAAAAGAGAAAAATAAATATTTCAATAGAAAATGGGCTGTTCTTGTAAAGCTATTAACTATGCTAATACTCTGTTCTAACAATGTTTTGGTTTGTTCTAAAGACTCAAGTCTAAAGCAAGTCTCAACCCAATGTACGATTGCTCTTCTGAATGTAGTTAAAGGGATATTAAAGTTCCTTTATTGTTTCTACCTAGGAGGCGAACTTTGACTAAATCTGCTTTTTTTTTTCCTTCTTTAAAAATGTTTAATTACTCATTTTCTAGTGGGTCCCTGCAGCGCATATGCCCCTGCATGGGTGTCGCCATCAGCTAAGCAGCTGCTGTGGAGGCAGCCGTGCATGCACGTGCCCACAGTGGCTGTGTGCATCCATAGACACATACAGCCAACAGTATATAGCTCCATTGCCCTCAGTATCTTCCCCCAGTACAAGGAAGAATGGGGAATGGAGGATGGAGGATCGCTTCAGGACCGGTGGCAGGGACAAGCAGCAGTGACAGGTAAGTGTGGGGGGGACAGGGGAGAGACAAAAGGTACTGGGTGGTTTATATATATATATATATATATATTGTCAAAAAA